CAGCGCCCACTATGAAACAAATCACCACTACATTCCGCTTTTGACCGTACTGTGAAATAGGCGAGAAGAAAATCTGCAAGAAGAGACTGCATTGCTTAACTTGAATTTGTCAAAAGCAAGGCCCCGCTCACGAAAGTCCTGGTTGGAATGAGCGCGCGTGACAACAGTAGTGTGGGAAACTACCACTCCCGAAGTTATCTTTGCAGAGGCGGGTTGCACCCTCTTCTGTGATCTTTCCGCTCAGAAGAATGCGTCAAAAGATTTGAAAATTGCAGGGTCCGTAGATTTGGTCCTGGTCTTCCCAAGAAAAGTCTTAGAGAAATGAAAAGGAAACGTTTTGATTGCAAAATAAATCTCCGCGGCTAGTTGACGGATTTTCTACTTTTTTCACATTGGCGGTTCTCCACACTATGCTGCCAGCAGCCCTCGTGAACCTTCCTACCAGTACTGCGAAGTTTCTAGCAGCCGTGGCCCGGTGGGAGGGGTGCTTAGACCACCAGTAGCCCGCCCATCTTCAAGCCGAGCCTGAAATTCCTCTGCACGCTGTCTTTTTCCGAACCTACGAGGCCGAAGTGCCGTTTCGGTTTGTGGTTGTCCCCAAACCGGGACTTCCTGAAACTGGCACTTCAACCTCTGAGTTCGTCCAATGGACTGGGACATGCAGAACGTCTGACCTTTGTACAGTAAACTTCTCTGGGTGCACAATGCGGAAAGGTCTATTTTTTTCTAGCTTACCCAGGCGGACGTCCGGGACCCCAGAGGTTGTCTGAGTTGTCCGACTGGACGACCCCGTGGGACGTCCGCCCAGGACCACTTGTCCGCCTGGTGGAAAAAATATGGGGTGGTGGTGTCTCCTCACTTCGGAGTCAAGGCATGTCGGGGAGGTTGAGGCCTACTGGACCAGGGTCCACGCACATTTTATTTCGGGTCGGTAGGCCCTCGAACTTCGAAAAAAAAAACGGCCCAACCTGGGCCGTCAGATCTCAGAGATCTACGGGCCAGATTGGGCCATTTTGAAATTCAAAATTGGAGCGGGTCCGCCCATCGCCTGGCGTGCGATTTCGGCGACCGCCTCCGAAGTTTGCTCGTGCCGAAGATGCCAGTGCCAGCAGGAGGCCTCCCCACGCCGCCATCGCAAGCGCCGGCAGGTAGGTGACCCTGCTGTCCCCCGTCTTCCACCATCACCTCCCCCTGCCTCCATCTCTTTCTCCTCGTCCTCGTCCTCCTCCTCCTCCTCCTCGTCCTCTCCTCTTGTACATCTTCCTCCTCTCTTCTTCCTCGTTCTCCTCTCCTCTCTTCTTCCTTGTTCTCCTCTTCTCTCTTCTTTCTCCTCCTCTTCTTCCTTGTCTTCTTCTTCGTCCTCTTGTTCTTTCTCCTCCTCCTATTCTTCTTCCTCCTCTTCTTTGTCCTTTCTCGTCATCGTCCTCTTTTTGTCCTGGTTCTTCTCCTCCCCATTCCTTCTTCTTTGTCGTCCTCCATGTTTAGTTTCTGCTCGTCCTGCTCCTCCTGTTCTTCTTCCTCGTCCTCGTCGTCCTCCGCCTCCTCCTGTTCGCCTTCCTTCTTCTCATTGTCACCCTCCTCTTTCCCCTCCCTTCTTCTCCTCCTCATCCTTCTCCCCCTCCCTTCTTGTTCGTCCTCTCCTTTGCCACGTCTTCTTCCTCCTCGTCTACTAAGAAGAGGATCGACGAGGGAATTGCGATGTTGAGGCGAGAAGGTTTGGGTGGTTGTCGCGACGGAGTTGCAGCACGTGGCTGTGGAGGTGGGCAACAATATCGAATCGTGGGAGGGGAATGGAGAGGAAGAGTAGTAGTAGGAGTAGCAGGAGGAGTAGGAGGAAGAGGAGGAAGAGGAGGAGCGGGGATGGCATAGCTCCTGCCATCTCCCGACCATTTTTTTTTTTTTTCAATCAATCAATCAATCAATCAAATAATTGATAAACCAATCCAATTTATCAATGAATAAATCAATCCAGTCAATCAGTCAACCAATCAATCTATCAATCAACCAATCGATCAAATCGATTGATTGCAGATCGATTTTGATATGGTATTGGTCGGTTGATTGATTGATTGATTGATTGATTGATTGATCGATCCAATTGATTAGTCGATTGATTGACTGGTTCATTGATTGATTGATTGATTGATTGATTGGTTGAAAAAAAAAAACGTAAAAAAAGGATCGACGGGGGAACTGCGATGCTGAGGCGAGAGGGTTTGGGGGGTTGCCGCAGTGGAGTTGTGGCGCGTGGCCGCGGCGGTGGGCAAGGATAACGAGTCGTGGGGACCGAATGTCGAGGAAGAGGAGGAGGAGGAGTAGCAAGAGGAGGAGGAGGGGCGGAGATGGCATATTTCCCATCGTGTCCCGATTGTTTTTTTTTTCCAATCAAATTATCGAATCAATCAATCAATCAATCAATCAATCAATCCAATCAATCGATCAGCCGACCGATTCCAGATCAAAATCGATCTGCAATCGATCGATTGATTGGATTGATTGATTGATTAATTGACTGATTGATTGATTCCATTGATTGATTGACTGATTGATTGATTGAAAGAAAAGAAAAAAAAACTAAAAAGAGGATTGACGGGGGAACCGCAATGGTGAGGCCTCCCCACGCCGCCATCGCGAGCACTTGCGGGTAGGTGACCCCACTGTCCTCCATCTTCCACCATCGCCTGCCTCCTCCATCTCTTTCTCCTCCTTCTCTTGTACCTCTTCCTCCTCTCTTCTTCCTCGTTCTCCTCCCCTCTTCTTCTTTCTCCTCCTCTTCTTCCTCCTCTTCTTCTTCGTCCTCCTATTTTTGTTCCTCCTATTCTTCTTCCTCCTCTTCTTCGTCCTTACACTCATCATCGTCCTCCTTTTCCCCCTCTTTTTCTCTCTTTTTGTTTGTATAGGTCTCATAAATATACCAATAATGAAATTCTCTGTAAATTGGTGGAACACTTTGCATCAACCTTCTAGTATTAGCCAATTTGGTACATCAATACATCTTTCTATGCTGATACCCATCTTTCTGATGTTTACTAGTTTTTTGTTGTTAAAGTCATTGGTTTATCATAGAGACGATTTTGGGCAAAAGAAATTCCTATGGTGTGACGGGCGGTGTGTACAAGGCCTGAGTACATATTCACCGCGGCATGCTGATCCGCGATTACTAGCGATTCCAACTTCATGTTCTCGAGTTGCAGAGAACAATCCGAACTGAGGCAATGTTTCAGGATTCGCTCCGCCTTAAAGCCTTGCTTCCTATTGTCATTGCCATTGTAGCACGTGTGTATTTCGTACTTGGTTTTTAAGTGCTTGTTTTTTGTGGATTTTTATTTGTTTTGTTTTCACTTTATTGACTTGTTATTGTTTCTCATAAGAATTTGTTTTTTTATTAGCTAAACCTTTTCTTGTTCTACGCATAGAAAAACCATCATTTATTTGCACACAAATGACTGAAGCTTTGAAAACATATATGCAAATTTCCCTAAGCTTCGCCCTTTTTTTTTGTTTTCCTTTTTTCAGTTATCAAATTTGGTGTTTTGTTATTCCTAGTTGTTACAAAACACAAAGGGTCCAATGGACAAAATTGTTCTATTTGAGTGTACTTTCTTTCTTGTCCCCCTTCCTTCTTCTTTGT